ATGTAGCAGATAGGTAACTTAGGCTTCACATGGGTTCTCTAGTAAAGGAATTGGGGACTCATTTGTTAACTTTTTAATTACTTTCCACTGGTGGGACTGCCTTGACAGGCCTCTGGGGAAAGGAACACAGATACAACTTGATGAACTTGGGTGTATGGGAAAGGGATCTCCTCTTTTCTGAGGTAAAGGGAAGGAGGGAAGGGAGTAAAGAGAGGTTGGGACTGGGAGGGAAGGATGAAAGGGGTTGCAAGGATGTAAAGTGAATAAAATAAGTAAATGAGAAAAAGATTGCAAAACAGTTGTCAGGCAGACTCAGATTCAGATAAATACAAAAGACATACATAAGGCAGACTCACACAACAGACAGGCAGGAGACAGACCAAAGACACAAGGTGAGAAGTGTTGTTAAGACTTGGGCTTGCCAGTGGCTAAACTACTTAAATAGAAAAAGTCTGGATTTCTTAACTTACTGCAACACCAATGCATATTCATGTCTGAGTTTACAATGAATGCATTCATATTAACTCATTCTCGTACATATTTATACAAAGAATAACTTTAATAATATTTCTAAATGTCATAGTATAAGAACTAAAGACCATGCAGCAAGAACAAAATTAGCATAGTTTAAGAAACCAATGTCATTAGACTGTGAACCAGTGTAATTAAATTCTTTTGGAAATGTCTCTTCCTGTTACCATGAATGTGACTGTGGGTATGAAAGCGATCTTAAACAGCCAAAATTCTGAGTGTCGGCACTGTGAACATACTCAAGTGGATAGTTTCTTTTTTTTCCATTTAAATGATTTTTTATTTTATTTTATTAATTACACTTTATTCATTTTGTATCCCCCCATAAGCCCCTTTCTCCTCCCTTCCTGATCTCACCCTCCCTCCCCTTTCTGCATGCATGCCACTCCCCAAGTCCACTGATAGGGGAGGTTCTCCTCTCCTTTTTGATCTTAGTCTATCAGTTCTCATCAAAAGTGGCTGCATTGTCCTCTACTGTGGCCTGGTAAGGCTGCTCCCCCCTCAGGGGGAGGTGATCAAAGAGCAGGCCAATCAGATTATGTCAGAGGCAGTCCCTCTTCCCATTACTAGGTAACCCACTTGGACACTGAACTGCCATGGGCTACATCTGTGCAGGGGTTCTAGGTTACCTCCATGAATAGTCCTTGGTTGGAGTATGAGTCTCTGGGAAGTTCCTTGTGTTCAAATTTTATAGTTCTGTTGCTCTCCTTGTGGGGTTCCTGTCCTCTCCAGCTCTTACTATTTCCCACTTCTTACATAAAATTCCATTCACTCTGCCCATCAGTTGTCCATCAGGCTCAGCATCTGTTTTGACAGTCTATACTGCAGAGGCTTTCAGAGGCCCTCTGTGGCAGGTTCCAAGGTTGTTTCCTGTTTTCTTCTGGCTTTCAGAGTCCCTTTGTGAGTCATATTTTGATTATGAAGGTGAACATATAACATAGATTAACATCTTTTCTCTGTGTTGGCATCAAGCAGAATTTTGTTGAAGGAGGCTTTAGGATTCATTCTATATGATTCCATGATGGTTTTACATCATGAGACTAGAAGTATTAGTAAGGTGCATTTTCTTTGTTTTTTTTTAATTATTTTTTTATTATTTTTTCTTTTTAGTTACATTTTGTTAACTCTGTGTCCCAGCTGTATCCCGCTCCCTCATTCCCTCCCCAACCCCACACTCCTTCCCTGGTCTCCTCCCTGCCCCTTTCCAAGTCCACTGATAGGGGAGGACCTCCTCCCCTTTCATCTGACCCTGTTTTATCAGGTATCTTCAGGGCTGGCTGCAAAGTCCTCCTCTGTGGCCTAACAGGACTGCTCCTTCCCTTGGGGGGGGGGGTCAAACAGCCTGCCCTTGAGATCCTGTTAGAAATAGTCCTTGTTCCCCTTACTTTGGAAAACTACTTGGTTACTGAGCTACCACGGGCCACATCCGAGCAGAAGTTCTAGGTTATATCCATAGATGGTCCTTGGTTGAGTGTCAGTCTCAGAAAAGACCCTGTGCCCAGATATGTTTGGTCCTTGTAGAGCTCCTATCCTTTCCATATCATACTAACTTCCCTTCTTTCATATGATTCCCTGCACTCTGCCGAGGGTTTGGTTATGAGTCTTAGTGTCTGCTTTGAAACACTGCTAGGTAGAGTCTTTCAGATGCCTTTTGTGGTAGACTCCTGTCATAAATTCAATACACATCCCATTTGTCTTTCTAAATGAGGATTAATCACCTTCGCCTGTGTCCACTTTCTTGATTATCTTCTTTAGGTGTGTAGATTTCATTATGTTTATCATATCTTGTAGGTCTATATAAGCGAGTATATACCAAGTTTGTCTTTCTCCTTCTGGGATACTTCACTCAGAATGATCTTTTCTAGATCCCACCACTTGCCTGCAAATTTCATGATTTCCTCCTTTTTGATTACTGTAAAAATACCACAGTTTCTGTATCCATTCCTCCGTTGATGGACATCTGGGTTGTTTTGAACAGACACATCTTTGGCATGATAAGCTTTTTTACCATGTTCCTTTTTTTCTACTTTGTAGATGCCAGTGGTAACACCTAAGCTTTGCTTACCTACATGTTTACATATTTAGTAGATTATTGTGAAAATTATAATATATAGGAAAGGTATATCAAGTAGAAGATTAATTACAGAGCAAAGCTGAAATGTTACAGTTTTTCTGAGAAACCACACAGCTTCCCAAGCTGGTGGAGAGACATAATGACCACAAACAAAGGAAATAAGTTTCAAGATTATTTGCTTTTTAATGTATTATACAAATCTTGCATCATTATGACACCATAGTAGAGGTCTTTGTTTCTTGATCAATTCAGAAACAGATATTCCTTGTTCTCAAGAAAGTAAATCTAAGGTACTCGTACATTCATTTTGTAAATAATCTCAGGCATTTTTTTTTTCACAATTTTCAAGCATCATCACCAAGCTGTAGTTAAAAATAGAATACAGGTCTCATCAGGACTGTCTGGATCCACTTTCTCTGTGGCCTAGTTAGGCCACCTTTCCAGGGGAAGGTGATCAAAGAGCAGGCAACCAAGTTCATGTCAGAGACTGTCCATGCTCCCCTTACTAGGGAACCTCGACGGAGACTGAGCTGTCCAGGGGCAACATCTGTGCAGGGGGTCTAGGTCCTCTCCAGGAATGGTCCTTGGCTTATTCATCAGTCTTTGCAGGCCATCGTGGGCCCAGAATTTTGGTTCTATTTGTCTCTTTGTGGAGCTTCTGTCCCTCCAGTTCTTTCTATCTCTCCCTTCTTCCATAAGATTTTCAGACTGTAGGGGAGGAGGACCTCCCCTGTCGGAGGACTAGGGGAGAGACATAGAGAAGAAAGAGGAAGGGACCTGGAGAAGATGAGGGAGCTAAACTCAGGATACAAAGTGAATAAATTGTAATAAATAATAATGATGATGATGATGAAAATAAGAAAGGAAGTGAAACTTCAGCAATACCAGATCATATTCTTGCTTCCTCTTGGTATAAACAAAATCAGGAAGTCTAGAGGACTAGTAAAGCTAGGCTTATGTGATTGATTTACATTTAAAATTTTAAATTGGGAATTTGGGATTTGGGGAAAAGATTTATAAAATCAGTGGGTATCTCAGGCACATGCAAAAATGTCTTGTTCTTCTAAATCTTTGTTATTTATTCATCATTATTGTGTATTTGCTGTAGAAAGTATCAATGTCTTTTCATGTGATAAAGTGATTAAGTAAAAAAAAAAAACAAGAAAATGTAATTCAACTGCAGAGTAATGAACTAAGAGATAAATTAATCTGTGAAAGTGCTGTTGGACATGAATAATTCACATCTCTCTGACTAGTCGATATGTTTTTAAATTTTAGATTTTTTGATTTCACACATACAAAAAAAAAAAAAAAGCAGTTGTCGTAAAATACTATTGATGAATAGGACATGGTTCCAGAGTCTTACAAGACAGAGAAGGCTCTAGAGAAGAATCACTGTAGTAGTTTTACCACACTTTTGAACACGCGCTTGTGGATTAGTTAATACATACTTATCACATCATGTTCCATGGAACCATGAGGTAAAACAGAGACGCTTGGTGTAAATTTAACATTGTTTACATTACATGCTTAAATTCTTTGTATTTATATGAGCTAGGTTATTTTTTTCTTTAGTAAAACCAAGATGTGTCTCTCAGCTCTAGTACACATTTTTCAAGAACAAATGAATATTGGATGTAGTAACATGAATTGTTAATTTTATGAGAGTTTGTGATCTACAGTTTCCTGTAGGAAAGTGATAGTATTTGGGTGACTTTTTTCTGTCACACAATATAACATAATTGACTAGTTTAAAGGTGATATTTCATGGGTAACAATTATATTCATCAATTAAAATGTTTAATCATTTAGCAATGTAAAACTGGAAACATTTCAATAAAACCTGCACAAAGTCTAAGGGAATAATAAAGGAGGTTTCTAAGACATATGGAAATACAACATGAAAAGATCAGAAGAGCAAGAAAAATTTTAAAGCACCAACCCAACTCGCCAGCACAGAAGCCAGGTAATTTAATTACCTTATGAAATAGTGCTATGAATATTAATGCAATAAGAATACTTATTTTAATATCAAGCCCTTGAACATAATTCAATGCTTTTTAACATTTTATATTAATATCTTCTGTTTATATCCTTTCATTTTTAATTGTAAGATAAGCCCTTCATGTATGAACTCATGCTCATGCTCTCCTCTTGGTTCAGCTTTGGGTGCTGTCAATCAGGCATGAGTCGCCATGTCCAATTTAACTCCTGACGTTATTTTAATATCTCTACGTCTTACTGGAAATATAGCTAAATTCCATCATTATTTTCTATTAAAAATTTTGTTGTTAATAACTTGTTTACATTATAATAGATGATCATCATCTCCTCAGCCTTTCTGAGTGAATTTATATGCTGCTCCTCTTGCTCAAATTAGAATAGCTACACTTTCTTATAATATGAATGGAATTATGGCAGACTTCCTATGCACATATGAGTTAAATTTCTTCCGATATATCTTATGCTTCTTTCTCGCCCACAAAGACATCTGGATACTCATTAAGATTGTAAAAATACCAACTGAAAGAAAAACATAACAATCACGTTAATATAATCCTGTAGTGGAAACAATGAATTCTATTTTAAAACAATATAAAAAATATAATAGAGTGTTTCCCAAATGTAATACGGTTTCCTATTAAGTTCCAGCTATCAATGGCTTAGAATCATATATGTACAAAATTATTTGAAGAATAAACAAAAAATAGAAATACTCCTTATATATTGCCTTTTCAAAAATTTCCAAAAGAAATCAGGTTTACAATAATCTTCTGAGTGTATGTTTGTATACTAAATTAATGATAACCATAACTAACAAATGGAACAAAAAGGAGATTGATATTACACATATTGGTTTAAATATAACACTCAAGTGATTCAACTTTCCTCTTTGTGTTAAAATACTAACTTTTCAAGATTTCATAATCAGCATGCCTAAGGCCAGTTTGTAGCAGATGAGGTTTGTAACACAAGAGGCTGCTTCAAGTGAAGTACACAGTCCACAAAAATACTTCAATTGTATTTCCTACTTAAAAATAAATTTCAGTTGTATAACTAAATAATGTCTCAGTATTGTAATACTAAAAAATCACTATAAAAATAAAAATGTATATACAATATACACTTGCAAATACTTCAACAATAGATGGAGAGTAATTTGTTCTCAGAAGCGATTGATATACTGATGTCGATTAATAATCAGTAAATATTAAGATTACCTGGAAGTGTTTGTGTCATAACTGTGAAACTAATCCAGGATCCAATCTGTTAATATAAAATTCCAAAGTTAACAGACACCTCTGGCTCATCTAGATATTTTACTATTATGGTCTTAAGTAAGTAATTTGAAAGATCAAAACATTAGAAATGTTATGGGTACAAAACATTTAAACATATGAACTCAATAAGGCCATAAAATCACACCATTCCAGGGGTCTTCCCAGAGACTCATACTCCAACCAAGTACCATGCATGGAGATAACCTAGAACCCCTTCACAGATGTAGTCCATGGCAGTTCAGTGTCCAAGTGGCTTACATAGTGATGGGAAGAGGGACTGCCTCTGACATAATCTGATTGACCTGCTCTTTGACCACCTCCCCCTGAGGGGAGAGCAGCCTTACCAGGCCACAGAAGATGACAATGCAGCCACTCCTGGTGTGATCTGATAGACTAAGATCAGAAGGAAAGAGAGGAGGACCTCCCCTATCAGTGGACTTAGGAAGGGGCATGTGTGAAGAAGGGGGAGGAAGGATGGGACCGGGAGAGGAGGAGGGAGGGCCTTGTGGGGGGATACAAAGTGAATAAACTAATTAATAAAAATAAATAAATTTTAAAAAATCACACCATTCATAAAACAAAAGAACATTCTTTTAAAATCTTTGGTAAACTTAAAATTCCAATACATCTTAATTTGTATAATATAAATCTTACAAATTCCTTAAGTGTATATATATATTTAGGTATCTGCCAATATCTTTAGAAAAGACATGTCTGCAGGTTGGGCATAATATATTCAAAGCATAAAGTTGTGGGTTCAGTGTGTATAGAAAGCAGTTCAGCTATTTCCATATGTAAATATCATACCTCATAAGTATAGTTAGGACAGGAAACCAGGAAAAACATCCATGTAAAGGGGTTATAATTTGGACTTGGGAAACATGCATTGCTCCCTTTTGGAAAAGAAAAAAGTGTCAATTATGTTGCAAATACACTTGTTACGTAATACTAAATTCTTGAGTGCAATCATATAACACATGGAATAGCATTCATCTATAGCAATTTATTTTATAAATTTCCCTGATGAGCCCCAGTTTCAAATGTTATGACCTTTTGACTCAAAGAACATGGCTAATCATTTTCTAATATTCCTACATCAATGTTACTGTAAAATTGTAGGACACACACATATATAATAAACTATTTAATAAAAAATAATAAACTAAGAAAATGAATGATATATAGCAATTATTCTGTATAACACAACAGCTGCTGCTGAGTTTTGTTCCTGAATTATAAAATACGCTTTGGTAATTCCATGGCTTCTTACAGTCTCTCTTAACGTCAAAGTATATGCGCTTGAAAGTATAAATACCTTAAAAATCTTTATTGAATTAATGAAAATTCAAAGGAATATTTATAAGGATGTCATTTATATCAGATGAATCTGAAAGTATCTTGAGGGTTATCCTGAATCAATATAGTTAATATTCCGAAATGCCACACAGGTTATTTCGGCTAAGCAATCAGAAATATTATTTACAGCTTTCATTATATTTAGCACATTATCACTTGACTTTCATTAGTTTACTCCCAGTAAATTTTTTCAGGGAACATAAATTTGTAATGATTTCAAGTTGAACTTTGAGCTGTGACACTTGTAAAAGAAAATATGAATTACAAAATTACTCTTTTATTCTCCAGAGCAAAATTTAATGAGATAAAAAATCAACTAGTCTCATTTAACTACAAGTGTTAAGTCATAGTAAAATGTCAGCATGCTGCATTCAATAATATAATATTAGTTGAATAATATTAGTTCAATAATATAATAATAATAATTCCTGAAATACCAAAATAAAAATATATGAAATAACTCCCAGATTTCATTACTGTTTACTTAATGTCAAGGATAAGCATATTGCTGGTTCTCTTAGAACATATGTAAACATGTTGTTTAAGGACTGTAGAGTAGACAAAGGACAGTTTATTAAGGAAGCTAATTCAGTGATAAATCATTGCAATTCAGAGGTAAGAGATGCACATGAGAATATCTGAGATAAGCCTCTAGATAATGAATGCTTAGTTCATAGGCGTGAAACACTGATCAAGTATTCAAAAATCCGCAGTTGTTTCGCTATTTTAAGATTACGTGATGAGCAGTCAACTGAGTTTGTTATAGAGGCAGCCCCTGCTCCCTCCACTCAGAGATCCACGTGGAGACTGAGTTGCCAATTGGCCACGTCTGAGCAGGGGGTCTAGGTCCTCTCCATGCACGGTCCTCCTTGGTGCATCAGTCTCTTCAGGAAACCCTGGGCTCAGATCTTTTAGTTTTGCTAGTCTCTTTGTGGGACTCCTGTCCCCTACCTGTCCCTCTATTCCCACCCCTCTCTCCCTCACTTGTCCCTGATGATGCAGCCTTGCCAGGCAATGGAGGAAGAGGATCCAGGCAGTTCTGAAGAGACTTAACAAGCTATGGGCAGATGGCAACAGTGGGGAATTCCCCCTTTCAATGAACGAGGTGAAGGGGATAGGGGAAAGAGAGGAGGAAGGTAGGAATCGGGGAGGGGAGGGATCGGACTTCAATCGCTATATATACTGAATAAATTTTGAAGAAAAAATTAAAATTAAAAATTAAATAAGGATTACACGATGACTATGTGTAATAAACAATACGTAAGTGTATTGACAATGATGTTTAAATGTATATAGTTGCTGTTGGTTATAATAACATTTAAGTATGGGACTACTAATTTGATACATTCTGCGTAGTTATTTTCTCAGGTAACAATTACTATAGTTGTTTCTATTAAAGTACTATGGGAAGTTTTGTAAGGTTTTGTGTGCTTGTGTGTGTTTTGCTAAATTTGTTCATCTGTCATTCTCCACTTTATTTTTTGAGATAGATTTTTGTCCTTGAACATAGAGCTTGTCAATTTGAAAAGATTCTATAGCCAAAAAGTACCAGGATTCCTCCTGCCTCAGTCTCACTAAGACTGTGCTACAGGCATCCATCAACACATGACTTAACGTGCTTGTGAGGACTACAATGCATTCCTCTGAGCTACCATGGGCTACATCCAAGCAGGGGTTCTAGGTTATATGCATACATGGTCCTTGGTTGGAGAAATAGTCTTAGAAAAGACCCTTGTGTCCAGATATACTTGGTCCTTGTGGAGCTCCTGTCCTCTACAGGTCTTACTAACTCCCCCTTCTTTCACATGATTCCCTGAACTCTGCTGAAGGTTTGGTTATGAGTCTCAGTATCTGCTTTCATACACTGCTAGGTAGAGTCTTTCAGTGGCCCTCTGCAGTAGGCTCCTGTCCTGTTACTTGTTTTCTCCTACATCCAATGGCCATCCCATTTGTCTTTCTAAGTGAGGATTGATCATCTTACCCCAGGTCCTCTTTCTTCTTTATCTTCTTTAGATGTACAGATGTCAGTATGTTTATCCTACCTTATAGGTCTAGTACCCACTTATAAGTGAATATATACAAGGTGTGTCTTTCTCCTTCTGGGATAACTCACTCAGGATGATCTTTTCTAGATCCCACCATTTACCTGCAAATTTCATGATTTCCTTGTTTTAATTGCTGAGTAGTATTCCATTGTGTAAAAGTACCATGATTTCTGTATCCAGTCCTCCTTTGATAGACACCTGGGTTGTTTCCAGGTTTTAGTTATTACGATTAAAGCTGCTACAACATGGTTGAGCAAATGTCCTTGTTGTGACATGAACTCAATGGCTGGCTCTTTGCCCTCCCCCCACCCGAGGGAGGAACAGTCTTGCTAGGCCACAGAGGAGGACATGGCAGCCAGTCCTGCAGAAACCTGATAAGCTAGGGTCAGATGGAAGGGGAGGAGGTCCTCCCTTCAGTGGACTTGGAAAGGGGCAGGGAGGAGATGAGGGAGGGAGTATGGAATTGGGAGGGAATGAGGGAGAGGGCTACAGCTGGGATACAAAGTTAATAAACTGTAACTAACATTAAAAAAATAAAAATTAAAAAGGTCTATTAAATATATACATTTTGAATTGTAAAATACAAAACAAAACACATTCCTCATGTTTATGTAGAAAGCACCTTATTAACTGAGTCATTTTTCCAGTCAATAATTTTAAAATGCTTTTAATATGAAATGGTACACCAAGTAGATTGGTCTTAAGATTTCAAGATTTCACTTGTTTTTATCAAAGTATTGCTTCCAGAAAATTTAGCTCTCAGCATACCTATTAAGGTATTTTTGACCTCAAACAGAGACCTAGAGCAAGGTTATGTCTTGTTTTTATTAGTCTTAACATGGACTTTATCATTTTAAATTCATATTTGTGAGGCCAAATTTATTGTTTATTACAGATTTAAAATGCAGCATATGATAGGTCATTGGAGACATTTATTGAGGCATTTATTAATCTCTAATTTTAGTGTCATTTTTTTTCTCCATATGTATGAATCTCTCCCTGAATGAAAATGTTAAAGCATTCATCAACTCATCATCTGCATCCTGAGACACTTGAGGAAATTCTCACCAGGAACTTTTAAAGAATCATCATGTTAGAATGCCTTTTTGGAATTGAAATTTCTGGGGACATTCAATAAGACCTTATATAACACAGAATAGATTGTTTCTTGTAAAAGGAAGACATAAATTTGTAAATGTTTAATAGTGATATGCTGATATGTAATAATTATGGATGTGATACTCAAGTTCAATATAAAGAATAGAACTAAGTGGAAATTTAGTTAACATAATGTAGTTTAAATATAGTTCAGAATATAGATAATAACTGAAAAGTAAAAGTAAAATATGAATGCTACTAAAGCCTCCTTGTTAGCATGTGTAGCATAGCTATTTTCTCTGACTTGAAATCATTCTTGTTAGATAGAGAAGGCTGTTCATAAATGTAAAGAAGTATTCAAAATCCTAAGGCCTATCGACAAAACAATTTGTAAGGAGAGAAGACTCAAGTTGCACAGAGAGATCCAAATTACAGGTTTTGTGGGATTACACATGCAGGAGTAGATTTTTTTTTTGATTGATTCATCTTCTTTGCCTTGCACATGGTCCTATAAAAATCTTCCACTCATGTGCCTTCTGTGCTTGTTACCATAATAAATTCATTGTTTTTCCAAAACTTACTTAGGTGGAATAATTTCTTTGGTCTGTCTTGTGCCCTATCTAGAATAAACAAATGTCTATCATGTCTTCTGGAAAATGTCACATGACAACGTGTAAAGAATGATGATCACCAGCCATGTGAAGAGAGCTAAAGCTCAAACTAGGGCCAGCATTAAACATAAAGGCCAGGAAAGTGCTAAGATCAAACAGTTCCTTTGCAAGAAGGCATGGCAAACCTAACTCAAAACATTTTTACAATATGTTGATTTTCCTGAGTGTTTGAGAATTCAGAAATGGCCCTCGCATCCTTACTAAACTTTAGTATCCTCTTCATAGAATGTAATCTACAGAAAACTACCATGGAATAAATATATACAATAAAAATTATAAAAAGAAGGTATAGAGGGACTTTAATCTAGCAATATGACTGCTATGGCAAGGGATCACATCCAAAGATTTTCTATATCTATGTGATCTGTCTAGAATGTAGTCACATTCTATATTACGGTATGATCTGGGTGGCATACAGATATTCCCTTTAATCCCAAACAACAAAGGTAAGTTTAGTTTAGGGAATTAAACATCATGTTTGAAAATAAAGTTTTGAAGGACAGAAAAAGTGATGAATCAGGGAAAGATCTGACAGAATGAGTCAGAATTAGAATATACCAATTCTCACAGGATCATGACACAAAAGAGATATTACTTAAGGGCAATGAACAAAAGAGAAGATTTTTTTTTTCTCCAGAGAGATTATTGCCAGGACAGTCTTACAAAGACAGGTGCAGAGAAAACAAGCTGGACACAGGTGAATACAGAATGAGTCAGAAAATGAGAAGGGTCCAGAAGATTAAAACATATTGCCAGAATTAGTTTAAGGCCAGCAAGAACAATTAAGTCATAAGCCAAAACAAGCCAGTTTGAATCAGTCAGCTTAGAGAGTAGTTTGTGCCAGAAGAGGCTAAGTTGAACCAGCCAGCAAGAGTTCAGAAAGAACAAAAAAGGCCTGGAAACAGCTTTGATCTTATCTCCATACCTGAGGAAATAAAAACATTTACAGGAGGAAATGAAAGTCCCAAAGAATATATAATTCTATATAGTCAAGACAGTCAGAAGTGTGAAATGAAAGATGATATGGTGATATAAAAAAGTTGCATGTTCTACAATAGAAAAATGAATTAAATTTTAAAAGATCATCTTCCTCTTCACTTCTAACAATTCTCAGAAGTAGTACATTGGTTTCAACCTATCTGACATGTTTCAAGGTTTGCAATGAAGGTAAATGTACTAAGTATGAACATGAACGGATTGAAAGACCTAGATTAATATAAAACAACTGACCTGTGTGATTGGGGTGAGCCAATATTGTATTGATGAAATGATTTCCAGCTTCACAAATCTGCAAAATATATTACAAGTTTTCATTTCACAATATGGAATTTTACAAAAACATTAAAAAGCTACAAACACACACACACACACACACACACACACTTATCCACTAGTAATTGTTTACAACGAGATAGAAATTCTGAAGTATTATATACTACGCTGATAACCAGGTTTAAGTGCTCTTGTTAATTTGGCAGTGCTACCTGCTTTCATCATATTCATTGGTAGTCTTCTTAGCATATAGCTACTGCACATGTTGCCAAAGTGAAACTTAATACCAGTATGCAGTCATACTTCATGAATATAAGAGGAATGGTTTCAGTGCAAGTATTACAGTTTGATACACTGTTGATTTCAATTCAGTTTCTTAGTTGATTGCAATAGAGTGCAGCATCTAAGCTTGTGGCATAGAGATGCTGTGGCCTGGTAATTCCTTATTGTCATTATCCTGGTTTCCAATGATTTAAAGTACAGCAAATGAATCAGAAACAAGTAAATAATGAACAGTTTGGGTAGGTAAGTAGCAGATAATGTACCTAAAGATGAAGAAAGGATAAAAACAAAGATAAAAGATGAAGGTGCTATTGTGGGTTATTAATATATATTATTGTTTTAGCTTTTAGTTAAGCAGTGGTTACCCATAAATCAGCTGTATACCCAAATCACCACACAGAGACTAGGATTTATTTAATTAGCCTAGAGCACAACGCTGGACAATAGTTATTCCATCCTAAATCTCCAAGCCCTCATAGTTTCCTAATTCACATTTTACCCATTATACTTGCTTTTAGTCAGGTTCATCTCTCCTGGTGGTTCTAAGTCCTGTCCTGCCAATCTCTTCTCTCTCCTACTCCTCCCACTTGCTTCCTTCTCTTCCCCTCCAGACAAGAATATCCCACCCTACTCTCTACATTGCTCAGCATTGTGGCTGGTGGATTTATTAACAACACAGAGAACAAATGGTGGCATGTTTACACAAACTTGAGACACATGCTAAGAATAAGCATCACAATGCAGATAGTGGGGTAGAGAAAATAGCATTTGAATGAACAAGGGTAAACTGTATACATTCAAAAAGAACAGCTGGTAAAGAGAGTAACATCATCAAAAACAAACCAGTTCATCCTACACTGGCATGTGGTAACAGTGTCCTGAGGGTTATCGTTGAATTTGCTTTTACAGTGGTAGAATTGGTAGAATTGAAATTGTCCTGGAAAATATAACATGTTTTACTCTACATATAAAATCAGTGTGGCTCTTATGATAGTTAATAGTTACCTTTGAATTGGTTTTTAAAGAAAAATTATATTTTGTGACTTGATAAAATCCTTATTCGGCAATTTATTATTTGAACATAATGTTAGATTCATTATTCAAATGAATAATATAAAGATATTAATTATTTAATAACTTATAATTTTATTCAGTTATTGTATGGATGAATATAAAATAGGAACCTGACAACCAATATCATATAATACAGGATTGCTCTCATGGATGTGTTCATTATTTGCTGCTCAATATTATGACTTTTACAAAATATTATTGTCAATCAAAGAAAAGGAGACATAGGAAAAGAAGAAAAAAATGAAAAAGGAAGAAAAGGAGGAGAAAGAGGAAAAGTAGGAAGAGGAACTCCAGTCAACAAATTCCATTCAAAGGAAGATGCAAAAAGACTTGTAATAATTCATTTGTAGATTATTTAAAGGATGTTCTTTCTTATAAACAAGTCATGTTAAATAATTACATTAATTTCTGAATATAATATTACCATATATATATATATATATATATATATATATATATATATATATATATATATATATATATATATCTTAGGAAAACTCTTAGGAAAAGATTAAGAGCCAGTTAAGAGTCGATTATTTCAATTTGTTTTAGTAAAATATTTCTTTTTTTCAACTAAAACTTGATCCATCAAATCTCATATGAACAGACTTTGTAGAAATGACAATAGTCTACCTTGACATTTGAACTGTTGTCACATTTTGATTACTATTGCATAGTACAAAAACATTAAAGCCTGGGAAAGTATAGTATGCATAATGTTGATAGTGAGAAATAAGAATGATAGCCATTGTATTAATTAAATTGAAACATAAAATCTGCTAAAGGCTGGGTTGTGTATGGCCACCCAGCACTAAGGAGGCAGAGGCAGACGGGTCTCTCTGAGGTCCAGGCCAACTTGCTTTACAGAGAAAATTCCAGGATAACCGGGGCTACCCAAAGAAACCCTGTCTCAAAAAAAACAAAAAAACAAAAAAACAAAAACTAATGACTTTCAAAAGGTCGCATGATTTGTTTAAATCCTAACATATTTTATTCTTTTTTTGTTGGTTTTTATAAGTATTTTATTGAGCTTTTTTTTATTAGTCACACTTTATTCACTTCATATCTCCCCATAAGCCCCCCCTCCTCCCCTCCTAATCCCACCTTCCCTCTGCCTTCTTCACGCATTGCCTATAGCATAGAGAGAGCCCAACAGGAGATGGCATGTGTGTGCCAGTTGCCTCATAGCATCCAACCTGAATTTTTCCTGAGGTCCTAGGAATGAGTGACTTACTATGGCAAGATGACCCCGGAGGCCACTGGGCCACTAAGAAAAAATGCTGTCATTGGTGGGATTCAACTATGCCAATTAAAATGCTTGAAGAGGGTATATAAGGGTTTCCCTATTTCCTGAATAAACAAGCTGCTGTCTTGCCCCAGAACTCTCAGGGTCTGTGTCATTGATTCTGCACTTTCTCACCCCTGTCTCCAGGGTCTCCCCAAGGGACACAGCAACAACTGTAGGTTAATTTACATATTTTTCAGAGTATTTAAAATACTAGAAAATTATCTACTATATATAATTATGAGATATTTAAGTATGTAATTTGTTTATTATGTTGAATTTGAGGATTTAGCTTTAATTTTAGTGGTTGTTGTATGTTTCTCTGACTTAAAATGTTATTGATATTTAAAGTCAGTACAATTTTCACCTTCATATTGAAAAAGAAATAACAGAATTCTGGAGGTATCAGTATCCTTGGTTGCAAGCTGTATTACAGAGCAATAGTAATAAAAATTGCATGGTATTGTCATAGAAACATACTGGTTAATCAATGAAATTGAACCAAAAAAGACCCAGAAATAAACCCACACAAATAAGGACACTGGATGTTTGACAAAGAAGACAATACCATAAGGCAAAAGATACTGTCAATAAAATAAAATGTCAGCCTACATGTTGGGAAAATATCTTCACCAACCCTACATCCAACACAGGGCTAAAATATAAAATAAATACCGAAATCAAGAAATTAAACACCATAAAACATATACTCTGATTAAAAATGGGGTACAGAGCTTAACAGAGAGCTCTCAACAGAGGAATATCTAATGGCTCAGTAGCACTTAAAGAAATGCTGAGTGTCTTTAAGCATAACAGAAAGCCAAATCAAAACAACTCAGATTTTCCATCATATACCTGTTACAATGGCTAAGATCAAAACACATGCTTAGGTGACAACATATGCTGGCAAAATTGTGGAGCAAGGGGAACTCTCCTCCATTGCTATTGGGAGTGCAATCTTGTACAACCACTTTGGAAAGTAATCCAGTGTTTTCTCAGGAAGTTAGGAATAGTTATACCTCAAGACTCAGCTATAACACTCCTTCCTGGGCATATATCCAAAAGATGTTCAAACATACCCCCAAAGAGTCTACAAGATGCACAGGGATAAAGATGGAGTACAGATTGAGAGAATAGCCAACCATTGACTGGCCCAATTTGAGACCCTATCAATGGGAGAGTTCCAACCCCTCAGACTATTAATGACACTCTGCTATTCTTGCAGACAGGAGTCTTGCATATTTATCCTCTGAAAGGCTCCAACCAGCAGTGGTTTGAAACAGATGCTAAGACCTTCATCCAAATTAGTTAGAGCTCAGGGAGTCTTATAGAAGAGTGGATGGAAGGATAGAAGGACCTGGAGGGGACAAGAACTCCACAAGAAGACCAACAGAGTCAGCTAACCTAGGCCCATGGTGGCTTACATAGACAGATGCACAAACCAAAGAACATACATGTGCTGGACTTAGGCCCTTGACATATATGTAACTGATAAACAGGTTGGTCTTCAAGTGGATTCCCTAGCAAGTGGAGCTGGGGTTGTCTCTGACATGGACTGTTGCCTGCTTTTGGATCACTTTCCCCTAGCTGGGTTGCCGTGCCTGGCCTCAGTGGAGAAGGACGTGCTGGAGACAAGCAGAAGAGGAGAAGAGGGTGCAATCAGGATGTAAAGTGAATATATAAATAAATTTTAAAAGATATTTAAGTATGAAATTTGTTAATTATGCTGAATTGAGGATTTAGCTTCAATTTTAGTGTTTATTGCATGTTTCTTTGAATTAAATGCTATTTGATTGTTAAGGTCAGTATTATACTATTTCATTATTCACAAATCTTATTTATTTACATTGGCATGCTCTTAAAATTATATTTTACAATTACTAGTTTAATAATTTTATTTTCCTAACCCACTTGAACATACTTTAATTTTTGATATGACTTGTTAACCTGCATTGCTTCAAAAGAACTTTCTTTAGAAAGTGAAATGCTTTTTGTAAAATAAAGACCTATTAATATTTACTTTTGAAAATAATTATTTCAAAAGTATTTTAAGTAAAAATTGTATAGTATTTTAATTGTAAGATGTAAAATAAACCCTAAACTGTTTGAATCAATTTGTTTTATTTGCATTGACCATTAGAAATAAAATTTTAGTTAATAAGTTATAAATTGTTTTCTTCATTCTGGATTTGGTTGAATAATTTATAATTTTTATTTTTGCTTCTATAATGTACCTCATTATCACAGTTTTTTTACAATATGTCATTTGTTGTAAATGCATAGATTTTGTTCAGAAATTATTTTGTAAATTTTTAAAAATATTTAATGCAGGTTTACTGGGTGCAGCACCTGGAGGAGACAGGAGCTCCACAAGG